TCGTGTCCGCATTTACAAATTGTGTGCGCCACAAGCCATCCGTCCACTCGTCCCATTCGAACAGACTCGATTCGATTCGATTCGATTCGCCTCGAATCGATTCGTTTTTCGTCGCAGTCGCACACGCTCAGTCACACACACGCACACGTAATCTTCCGTCTCCTCTTCCGTTCGCTCTCTAAACGCTCGCTATACTGTACAGTCGGCTCGCGGGGACAACGAACGGGGCGCCGCGCGGTTTCGGTTTCCGGTCTCTCGTCGTTCCCCGTCTCGTTCTCGCTCCGCGAGCGCCCGGAATCCGGCGGCGAGACAGGCCGCGGGAAGGAAGATCGAGAGGATGCTGGTTCCAATGGTATAAAATCTAGAAAACTCGACGATGACGCGCGTGAATTTGGGTTGCGGCGGTGTTCCGTGACCTGTAACGCGATGGACCGGCCAGCTTGGACCGAATTTACGCTGAACGCGCGCGAACGGTCGCGGCGACGATTATTCCCCAGATTTTCCTGTCTTGTACAAAGAGAATCGTAAAAAGGTGATCGCCTTACGGAAACATGGCACTTTCGTTTTACCGAATGTAAGACAAGGGTCCGTTACGAAGCAGTTACTCGTCGTTAGACGAATATACGTATACGTAAATAGATAAACAAAGGTTTTTCATCCTGAAGTTTATGTTTCTCCCAAAAGAATCGCGAGATTGGACCGTTCGTGCGCATTGAACCTTATTCCGAAAGACACCGTCTTTCCGAACGGACGAAGTCTCGTCCCGTCGCCTTCTTCCCTTCCGTTCCGCCGCGAAACGTGCTCCGTCCCTTCCGTTTCCGTTTCCGCTCCACCAAGCAATCGAACGTTAACTTCTACCGGTTGCAAGTGCGATATGTACCAACGGATAGTTACATCTTATTATATATATGATTTATTTTATTTATAATATGTATATAATATATATATATATATATTTATTTATTTATTTATTTATTTATTCATTTATTTGTGTATTTATTTATAATACTTTGGTGTCCGAGTTTCGTCGCGCGTTCCTGTGAAGTTCCGGAGAACTTTCGTTCGTTTCTACGAATTATCGAATATTATTACCTAGAGATCGAAGAGCCGAGAAAGGTCAGGCCGGGTCGGCCCGGTTACGAACTTTCAGTATACTTCTCGAGGACCGTCGACAGACGCGTTCGAAAAACGGCCGGCTAGGTACGAGCTGACTTTGTTCCTTTGGTGCCCGATGGAACAGCAGGCCGAGAGGAACGAGGAATTTCGGCGAGCTGATTAATCGAACGCTCGCTTGCCTCGCGCATGAATCGTTCCGTTTAAAATGTACGCGGCCGTGGAAGCGGTTGCTGGAATTTAATCGGTAGACTGCGGATCCTTACGCGAACTCAGATTCTCGGGAGTGGCGTTCGAATAGAATTAAACGTCGAATTCTGGGCGACTTCGCGAGACTATACGAAATGAAAGGAATATTCAATTCGTTTCACTGATTTATCGTTGCACTTTGATTCCATAAATGCGAGAATCCACAGGATACCTTTAAACTACGGATCTTTGTGTAAATTCAAATTTCCAAGAGGACAATCGAAAACATAAGTTTCTTTTCACAAATCTTATAACGATCACTGTACGCCGAATATTTCACATCTCGTATCATCTACAATCTGTAGAAATCTGCATTCGGAAATCTGCATTCCCAAATTCCCCATGAACGCACAGAAATCCGCACACTAATGGTATCCGCGCGAAACTATACGAAATGGAAGGAATATTCAATTCGTTTCACTGATTCATCATTGCACTTTGTTTCTACAAATGCGCGAAAATCCGCAGCACACCGCTAGACTACCGATCTCCGTGTAAATTCAAATTTCCAAGAGGACAATCGAAAACATAGAATTGTAATAGGGAAAAGTTTCTCTTAACGAATCTTATAACGATCACTGTACGCCGAATATTTCACATCTCGTATCACCTACAATCAGAAATCTGCATTCCCAGATTCCCCATGAACGCGCAGAGATCCGCACACTAACGGTCAAAGGCGATTCTTCGCCTCTAACGAGCTCGCGAGGAGCCGTTCGCCGGTGCAGGCAAATTTGGGAAACGCAATTTCCCGGACGGTCTAAGCCGTTGTAAAAAATCGTCGATTCCGAGTGGCTCCCGAGCAGCGTCGCACCTGCGGATGCATCTTGCAGGAGCAATTTAATAAGATCCGCCTGATCCTTAACCCAGCTGCGCTCCGTTGCCTCGCGGATCGCGGGGGCGGGAGAAAAAAGAGGCGCCGAAGAGGTTAACGGAGGCAGCTGGGTTCCAGCTGGAACTTATCCTATTCCTTTATCGCGCGTCGCCCGTATTGGCTTTCGCTAATCGTTCCCGGGACTAAATGAACCGCTCGTTGGGCGAATCGGTTGATTCCGCTTTTCGGATTGCCTCGGATTTGATCGTCGACGCGGCTGATTGGCTCTCGACTTATTACGTTCAACGGAAAGTGTCATTGTTATGGGGCCAGTTATCGGTCGCTGGATGCTGCGCCGCGATTCGATGAGCACGATTGATTTTTCGCGCTAGAACCGCCGTGCAGAGATTTTTCTAGATTTTTCTATGGAGTGCACCTATCGCGATGTCGATTGCCTCGTCACCCTTTGTATTCGGCTGAAACTCGTCGATCGGTGGCTACTGTTGACGCCTAGAGGCAGGTGGGAAATTTGCTTTCGGTGTACGTTGGCGTCTATGGGCCGTGGAATGTTGGCAGTGATTGCGGCGAAGCTTAGATCGGACGTCGGTGAATTCTAATTAAATAATTGTCGTTATTAGGGACAACACGAGAAATCTCGTTTTTATATGAAGACACTTAGCCGTGTAAGCTAACTACCACAGCATTGAGGAAATATAAAATTTAATTCCAATCGACTATAAATTTAACATGTATTACATAACAATATATCTGAGTTTTTCTCATCAATTTCCATCGCAATTCAGTTTTCTGAAAATTAACCGGTACGGTTATCTGAGCCCTTCGCATCTTGATTATCAGAGGCTTAACCCTTTGCGGACGAAGATTCTTTGAAATGTACAAAACCTTCGCAGATGAAGTTAAATTATATATAGTTGCTCAATTGATAGGAAAACAGGAAACTACGTGCTAATCTCTTGCTGTTTCTAATTAAAGTCGTTTGTTGCGACTTAGTCTTCCAAATATGAACATCTGGTCGACATTCATCCGTAAAGGGCTAATTCAGGGATCTTCCGATAGTCGTGTTGCATAAATCTGATTGTTTCATAATAGTTTAATTTAGTTGTTTAAGGAACGCGTGCTGATGCAATTCTGTCGCAGCCAAAGGGTTCGATTTTTGAATAATTACTAAAGAATTCTCAAGGTGGTCGCGACTATCCACTAACTCCAGCGTTAACCGCTCGTTAGCCATAGGTTTCCATGGTTTCAACAGACTTCCCAAGGAACGCGAGCTGATGCAATTCTGTCGCAGCCAAAGGGTTCGATTTTCGAATAATTACAAAAGAATCCGCAATGCGGTCGCGACTATCCACTAACTCCAGCGTTAACCGCTCCAGTTTATCCAAAGGAGTTCCCATCTACAGACGATTGCCCTTGCCATTCGCAACGGCAACAGTCTCCCTCCGTTCCCCTCGGATCCACCCCAGCAAATTGATCTTTCGTCAGAGTCCTTTCAAGGATCGGAACTTGCGCAGCTCGCACAAAAGAATCCCCGGTCCTCTTCGGAGACTCAACTCACCGCGAAGTGCCAATAAGAAACGCAAGCCGGAAAACCTCCGTCCGTGTCCCCCGGAAGCCGGAGATCGAATTAACGCGTCTTTAATGAATTTCGCGAAACTTCGATCGGATGAAAGGACCGCCGAGCCGCGCGGAAAGAGGAAAAGAAACGGGCAGAGGCGATAAGGATGGCGAGCCGGTGAAGAAGCTCGGATTGAACAAAGGGGGAGAAATATTGCGGGAGGAACGAGGAGAGAGGGTGGACGAGCAGAGAGACAGGGAGAAAGAAGCGGGCGCGAAGAAGAAAGAGGAGCGAGCGACTCGCGAGCGGGTGGATTCTGGTTCGGCGGTCGGCCCACGCCACTGGAAAAGAACGTTCATTTGTCTTCCGCGCGGTGCAGCCGGTGTTTCGGCCGGACTCGAGACGCCGGCGCGGCCCTTCTCCGCTCGGAAACAATGCTCGCGGGCCTTCGAAAATCTTGGAGAGCATAATAGCCCGCCCTCGAGAGCCTCGACTTTCGACCGGACTTTTATTCTTCTTTGCTCTCTGCGCGGGCTCCACCCCCCTATCTCGTCGTTCCTCGTCCGTTCCGCTGTTCTATTTTTCCGGTTGCCGTCGCTGGATCCGCAGGAAACAGCGCGTCCGCCGATCGGAGCACCGCCCGATCGTTCCGCGCGGCGGCAGCCGCTTTTGTCCGCGAGTCGAGCTCTCTTGAATGTTTCATGAGCGCGGGCCGGCGGGGAGCGGAACGGTTTTCATTACCGCGGCCGCTTCCGTCTTGTGTTTCGGTTACGCCGACGTATAAATTATTCCCCTCTTCGTCCTTGTCTCGGATAAGTGCCGGAACTCCGCGATAATCCCCGTTTCTCTTATTTTCGAGGGAAACACCGGGCTCTCGGGAGTTCACGAAACTTCCAAGCGTTTCGCCCGGGGAACGAGACGGACGCGAGGCGGAGGAACGCGGAGCGCCGATCGACGGCCGCCGTGAGGAACGTTTGATCCGCGCGATTAAAGGCGCGCGTTAATTATTCGATCCCTCTTGCCGTCGAAGGGCAAGCGTCGCGTGTAATGCGGCCGATAAAGAGCTACAGCTCGCCGGCGACGTGATTAATTATGACGAATCGTCGCTGCCGGTGCTCCCGCGCCGGCTACTACTCTCGATCGATCGGCCGGGAACGTTTCAGCTCGGCCCGCCGTGGAAGGTCCTCGTGCGCGTCGAAACGACGGAAAAATTGGAAACTTTGATTCTCGTTAGCTCCGGAGCGTTCCTCGTTTAACGCGTCTCCTCGTTCGCCGCTTTCAACCCGTTCTCGCCGGTGCTCCCCGCGACGCTGATTAACACTTTGTCACCTAAATTCGGGTGACACCATCTTTCGCTTCTTATTAGGAAAACTGTCCGTACGAGTTCTCGTGAGCTTCACTCAATCGAAGCGTCGAATGAATGTTCAGCGTTAAATTTCGTGTTAACACTAGGTTTACGGAATACGTCAAACTGACGCATATTGGATTTTAGAAACATTATTTTGTAAATGCCGATTTTGATTGAATCACTCTGACATGTAGCCTAATTACCTACTATCGAATCTCCAGTTTGGAATAACTGGAGATTTGATAGTAGGTAATTAGGAATAATTTTAGGAATAACAGAATGAAGTGCACAATAAATGCCCGTGAACCTAGTGTTAAACAAACCCTTAGCAACATTTTCCTGAGAACCTCAAGAGGAACCCATTTCCGAATCCTTCAAAGAGAAACTGCGTCCGGGACGAAACGGGTTAAGCTCGCCGTCGCCAGTTTCTCCTCGGTTTCCGCGTCCCTGTCGCCGTCCGACGCGAGCAGCCCGCTCCGAGGGCGTCCCGCAAAGCGGCAAAGCGGTCCCCGGCGTGCGGTGGTTCACGGGAGGAAAGATTCCGCGGGCGCAGCGCCGTCGGCCGAGCGGAACCGCGGCTTTCAGTCGGGATCGGCGGGGAACGCTGGCGCGTTTACGCGTCCTTTGAGCTGCGTGAATGGCCGGCCCGCCTCGATGGCCGCCGGGTAATCTTCGAGGGCCCTCGGAACGTAATTACACCGCGGAGCAGCGGGAAACAGCCCGGCTCTCCCGCCGCGCGGCCTTTTGGCGTCGGTTTCTCGCGCCGAGACGGCCGCGCCGGGAACGAGGAACGCGCCCCGTGTAAATTAGCTGGCGAACGCGGCGACATCGTCTCGGTTTCGCGGGAGAGCGGAGTCTCGAGATAGGATAATCGATCTCTCGGCGAGTCCTAGATACACGATTCTTGCAGGAAACGTTCGGTGATCGGTCTTGTTACAAGGATGCGTCAGCCTCGCGCGACGTTCTGGCTCTCGCGAGTCGGCTGAGACAGTTTTCGCCGGTTCGCCCGTCGGTTTCTTTCGCGCGGGAGGCTGCGGCGAATACTGAGGGCCCCGACGAGGACTAGCAGTCGTCTTGAGTGGACGAGGACTGCAGGAGGGCCGCCGCACGCTCCGAGAACTCTCCGGGCGCTGCGCCGGGGCACTGAAACAGAAGCATAGGAGAGTCTCGATTAGAAAGGAGGATTAGTCCTGCGGGATTCGTCGAGAAGCTGTCGGGGCTAGTGTTGTATTCCCAGTCGTGGAAATGAGTGCGACACTTGGTTATTTCAAGGGAGGTTTTATAAAGGTTTTCGACGTGGTGAGGTCGCCTTTTACACTGTGTATAGGACTAGATCTAATTTTGATGTTTGGTTTGACAGTGCTGAACCGAGTCTACTCGCAGGGTCGATTTAGTCCTTTTTAAGAAAGGAGATAGGAGTAGTGGGGATGAGAAAGGGCGAGGAATCGGAGTTCAAAGGATTAATTTATGGTGCACCAGCGGACCACGTGCTTTGAGCAATTCTCAAAAGAACAGTCCCGTATCGCGTCAGGCGCTCAAACCGAATTTCCCATTACGTCGGGGAGATCGCCTCCTAGCACTGCGTAAGATTCACGAGATTTTCTTCGGAGATTTGAGAAAGTAGACTTAGAATAGTAGACTAATAGATGAATAATAGAAACAGAAGTAGTGCAATAGTAGTCGAAGCGTCAAGGGTGCAGTAAGAGTCATCAGGTCGAATTTTCGATCTTTCTCAATTAGTAGCAGTACTATTCTATAGTAACTTTCAATTACAATCGAATATTACATAATATTTCCGAAATTTCACATTCCAACCACACTGCATGAATATCTACATCGCGCAGAACTCCGCATCTCGCACGAGCACGCGTTGCATCTCCGCGTTCCTTTCATCGAGCTGAAAGCATATTTAACCGGTCGCAATCGGAGCTCGCGATGCAAACGGTCGTAAACCGTTCGATATCGGCTCCTAAGGCTTCGCCGGGCGCAAGACGTTCCGCGCGCGGGTTTCTGGAGGATTCCCGGGAACAAAAGTTAAATGATTCTCCGAGGAATCGCGGTCTGGTCGTCGGGAAGCGGCGAGGATCGATCGCCGACGGGGTCCCGAGTTGCCGGGGTATTGTTTAAACGATCCGTCGGCCCGGAAAAAATTCCCCGACACCGTAAAGCGGCGAGCACGGGGGCCGAGCCCTTCGGGCCACCGATGAAAACTTGAAAAGTCGCTGGTTTTTCATTTTCGGCCCGGCAGGGTCGTTCGCCCGGCTCGGCTCGGCCGGCCGGCCGACCGGCATCGCTGAAAGCACAGACGATGCTGATTTCCCAGCGGGTATCGTCCATCTATAAATCTATACCCCGAGGTTGTTTAGTCGAAGGCTGTGTGTGCACGCGTAGCCGTCGGCAACTGCGCCGTCGTGTATTTTTCATTCGACCCCGAACTCCTCTTCGTCCCGCCCGTCAACCGGCGGGAGGCGAACTTTTACCTCGCCGAACTTTATTCCTCGCGGTTCCGATCGGAGGAACGGATCATTCCTCGTAACAGGCAAGTTGAGAGTGAGTTCTTTGGTTGACGGAGATTAGAGGATAGGACTGTTGGGTATTTGAGAGACGCATCTTGGATGTTTGAATTAACCCTTGCGGACGAAGGTTTTTAGAAATGTATGAAATCTTCAGTAGAAGATAAAGTATTTATCGATCTGGAACGAGTGATAGATAAATTAGATAATTAGGTAATTAGGTAATTAGGTAATTAGGTAATTAAATAAATAGAAACTGATCTGTAACTGTTCGAGTAATTAAATCACTCTGCGACTTGGTTTTCCGAATATAAATATTTCATCTCGCCGAAATGTCGACATTCGTCCGCAAAGAGTTAATCTCGGACAATTGGTTTATTAACCCTTTGAACTCTGTAGGATCCAATATTGCACCAGTTCTAATATTAAATATTTTAATGAATTTTAAGGAAACTACTTTAAGATTATTAGATCTTCTAAATGTACGAAGTTTGTACTGAAAAGGGAATTAAAGGTGTAAGAAATGTTATAACATTGTTAACTTTCAGTAGAACTACTATCAATGTTGGTAGTAGTTGCTGACGTATCAAAAAACTCTGTGGAGTGCTAAGGGTTAAAGAGAAATTTTCATATTTCGAAGACTAAGTCACAGAAAAATGATTTAATTGAATAGCAAGAGATCAGTACGTAGTTTCCTTCTGTTCCAACAATTCTACAATTGATATATACTTTAACTTCATCCGTCGAAGGTTTTGTACATTTCAAAGAATCTTCGTCTGCAAAGGGTTATATCTCGAATATTCGATGCTTTCGCAATATCAATGGCAAGATGAGAGGACTAAAATCAATCGTTCCGACCGGCACCAAGCGCGAGTCCGATTACTTATTCTATTTGCCCGGCATCGCGGTGAAACTGCGAGCGAAGCGAACGAAATTTTCCCCGGCTCGCCGTGAAATATTGAAAAACACGCGGGGGCGTGAGCGCGCGGCCATCGCTCGGGTTAATACAGCGTGTAATTGAAATCGCGAACAACGCAGGCTCGAGGACTAATCGCCGATCGAAAAATGAAGAGTCGCGGTCCATTTAATCGAAGTTCGACCGCAACGCGCTCGCCGTTCCGATAAACGGCTGACGGTCGAATAAAGGGCCGCGAAGGGAGCGTTCGGCGGAGGGGTGGTTCTCGCTCGGGTTAGACTCGATTCACACCAGCGGTCAACAATACGTTCGGTTCGAGTAGGTTCGCCATGAATTAACCCTCTGCCAGATGGTTTGATACAGGAAAATTATAAACCTTGGTATTTACCATTAAAACATTAATAATACATTAATACAAACATCAATACGTGAACTATTGGAAGAAGATAGCTTCAGTTCTCTAATTCATGGGTGATTTCTTAATAAATTCATTTTAAAGAATCTCGTCTACATCCAGTCAGAAAGCATTGAATATTTCAAGTGAGAAACTTCCGAGTGCGAAGGGTTAAAACGGTAGAGAGCACTATGCTCTAAGTATCTCAAAAAACAGGCTCAATCTACAGGGCAGTCCTGTCAAAAAAAGTCATCAATACCATAAAAGAAACAACCACGGAGCAATCTCTCGTTAGTCGGCTAATTGCATTGTTTGTGTACACACGCAGGCCATTTTGAGTGTAAATAAAATATCGGTTATTCGAAGTTTGCGGATGCAGAGCGCGCGTTATGAAAGAAATCGTAGGACAAGGGGTTGAAAGCATTCGTGTGTCGATCAAAGCGATTCCAGTTACGTGGTTCGGCCGGTAGTTAACCGGATTCGATAGCATCCGCTCGTTGAGCGGCCCGATAAAATCCTCCAGCGTGAGCAATCTAGATCCAACAAGAGCAGCGGCGTCGACCGCGCACGTGTGAGCCGAGCCTTACGCCGCGCGAGACGCGTCGGTACGCCGGCCGTATTTTCGTTCCATCCCCTTTCATCCCTTAATCGTAATAATATCGCGGATGACTTTCCGGGCAGCTGCGCCGCCAACTATCGCCGGTTTATCTCGCGGCCGTTTCACAGGCAACGGGGCAAACGTTGCGAGAGGAAAAATTGCGCGGCGTGCGCCGCCGTTTAATTATTTCGCCCGCGGAAAATGCCGGGCCCGACGCGCGCTCCGCCGATGCGTGAAAACGTATTGACCGGTGCTTCCGCGAAATCGGTTTGTTTTATCGCCGACGCTTCCCGCCGCGCTTAGCGCGCGTTTACAGCGCAGCGACTCGATCGAACGCCTACGAGAGCCGAACGCGCGCCTCCGTTTTCTAATGGAAACTGTCGCGTCGCGAGATCGCTTTAAGAGGGCTATCGACGAAACCTGCGAGGCACATTAGAGCCCTGGGTATTTTTACCATAGCAGGAATAAAGGCCCAAGGAACCGTTGCTTCGCTAATTTAGTCGCAGTTGCTTCGGCGCGTTTCGCCAGTTTTGTAGATTCACCGTAGTTTTAACCTTACATCCGTTTGCCAGAAGTCGAGGCGATCCTTGGTTTTATTACTCGCTGTGGTCAGTGACGAGAACGCTCGGGACCCTTGCGTGGGTCACCCGAGGGCTGCGATCGGCAACCCCTCTAGGATCACTGGTCGAGGGGAAGTTAGTCCCACTCGAAGGAATTCGTTTGCACGCGCCCACTACCTCGGAAGGCTACGAATCAGGCGGACTTCCAATTTGCACGCGCCTATCCAAAGGTTTATAAAAGCCCGCGCAAGATACGGAGACGATAGATGTACAAGATAGATTCAAGTTAGACGAACGAGACGGAGTGTACAGACGTCGTTGTAGACACCGCTGACGAGTATTACCGAATTCTCTTAATAAACAGCAAGTTATCTCCACCGAAGTAAATATTAACACGTTAAGCGCCACGAAAATCTTAAGCGTTTTCCCATAGAGTCTGTCTTTTGTAGCAAAGAAAAGTAGGAATACTTACGAATTGTTTGGCGTTGCAACGTTTGCGTTACACTATTATCAACTTAGTTGCCTTATTAAACACTTTTATTTCACATCGGTTGTCTTGTATGTTACGATTGCTTTTTAGTCATTCAGAAGCGTCAGTCACCAGTGGCTGACATGGCGCTTAACGTGTTAATACGACCCACTTCCAATCAGTCGCGCAAAGTTAGGTCGGCGTGCGACGTACGGGTTTCACTATTAAAATTTCGAAGTAGAAAACGCGTACACAACGGAAACATTCGTATTGAACGCGTAGAATCGAGCACAGCGGTCGATCGATAGCCGTTATTCACGAGATTCTAATTGCTCGAACAGTTTCCTGCGGTCGGATATCGTTTCAACCGATTTTCCGGAGGACGGAACGGAAAGAACGCCGCAGTTTCAGCTTTCCGAGCTGTCTCGCTGAGCTCCGCGCGTTCGCTCTGCCCGGCCGGGGTTATCGTTGTCTCGGACTATCGGGGATCCCCGGGGATCCTCGCTCAGGCGTCTCCGTAGACGAAATCTTCCCCGGGAGGATCGTTCCTCGAACGCTTTCCTATCTCGCCGGGTTCCTAATTCGTTAGCAGAAGCCGCGTCGCCATCTCCCTCGCGTGCAATCTTGTCAGACACCAAGGAACGTCGGGAAATATTTCTGCTTTCTTCTCGGCCATGGTGTTCCCAAGAACAC